CTACGTGCGAGACGTGGGAAACGCCCACCTTGTCCTCCACGAGCTCGCGGCAGGGGCGAAGGGAGCAGGCCGGCCTCTTTGGGCGGTTTTCGGGGACCTTCAAAAGGCCTTTCCCCGGACCTGGAGGGAGGTGCTCCTCTTACGTCTTCATGAAAAGGCCGGTGTGCGTGATGGCATCTTCTCGCTTCTGGCCAGCATGCTCGCTTCGGACACGATCCATGTCAACTTCAACGGAGTCTCCACTGTTTCCATTGACCAAGGGATTGCCGAAGGGGGAACGCTGGGTCCCCTGACCTTTCCTGTATACATGGACTCTCTCCCAGAAGCCTTACACAAGGCAGGCTGCGGAATCGGAATAGGAGTCCGCGTTCCGTGCGCCTGGGTCGGCTGCTCGTGGCGGGGCACAGGCATGCCCGATCCTGTCCAGACCGCCGAGCTCACCAGAGCACTCCGCGAGGGCACGCAGCTTCCTCGGGCAGCGGATCTAGAAGCCGATCTTACGCTGGAGGCCTCTGCTCTGGCCGCACTGGATGCCACCGCGCCATTGCGCCTTGCTGCAATTCTACACGCGGACGACCCGGTTCTGCTCTCTTCCACTCGGGGAGGAGCGCAGCTCGCGCAGAATGCTCTAGCCGAGTGGGCTTTTGCTCACAAGGCCAGTCCGCATACCAAGCCCTCCAAACACGCTGTTGTAGTGCATGGCTCCCCGGAGTCCCGGAGGGCAGGGGCGGCAGCAGCTCCCCTTGTGCTACCGCTCCGGGGAGGGGCGCCTATTGAACTAGAGCTCAAAGACACACACCAGTGGCTCGGGCTACTCTGGTCTGGTGACCTCGACTTCTCGAAACTGCTCGATGCAAGGCTGGGCGCCGCTTCCGCACAGTGCGCCTCCCTCGCGGGGCATGTTGCTGCCGGAGTCCTTCCGCTCGCTGTGGCGGTTCGCATCTTCGAGGCCCAGATCGAAGGCGCACTGCGCTTCGGGCGCTGGATGTGGGCAGTTGCGGAGGGGGCGTCGGACAAGCTTGAACAGAGCTATGGAGCGTGGGCGCGCGCCTTTCTGGGCTGTCCGCCCTGGCGAGGGCAGGCCCACGCTCCCTTGGAGTTGGGCTGGGCTCTCTCCGGGCCTGCCAGGGCCGTGTACGAGGTGGCCTCCCGGCGGGCCGGTCTCTGGAGGCTCCCCGACGCAGATCTCTACAAACGGGTATTCCTGCAGGCCCACGGGTCAGAGGGCCGCACCTGGGCGCAGCTGTCGCTTGCCCTCCTCGAGGCTTGGTCCATCCCGGATTGGCCTGCTTGGGAGGGAATGTATGGAGGGTCGTCCCTGCACGCATACAAGGTCCACGTCCGGGCCCTCCTGAAGGCGCGGTGCGGGGAGGAGCTGCGGAGGCAGGCGGGCGTGCTCCAGAGGCCGCTTCCGGTCCTTGCTCTCGGCCCAGTCCCCAGGACGGACCTGGCCGGGGCCCTCAAGCTAGGGTTCCCTTTCGAAGTGCTACTGGGCCAGCGCTCGCTCAGCAGGCTTCGGGGGCGGTTGGTCGCCCTAGGGCACTCTTCTGGTTCCCTCTCTTCGGCACGGAGGCA